TATGCTCACTTTAACACTTAAAATGCTATTTTTACCACCTAGCTTAAGAGGATTTGGAATCCCACGGCAAGTTTTTAAATTGTACCTTAGAAGTCCATAGGAATATATGCAGAACTATACAGCTTTACTATTAAAAACTTCATACTTTTCACAATTGCAACTTTAGGGTCATGGGTGATTATTCCTTCAGTGCCTGCCCTCTGAACCCCACTCCTACCCCTCTTCCTCTTCCTTCTCTTATTCTCACTCTTATTTTTAACTAAAATGTATTTTCAATTAACTTTATACACATATGGTTAACTCTATGTTAAGTAAAGAGTGCAATGATTAGTATGAAAGAGAAAAGGGTAAAGAAATGAAAAGAAGAGGAAAAGAAAAGAAAAGGAAAGGAAAGAAAAGAAAGAGAAATTGCTGGAACTGTGGTGCAGCAGTTTAATGCCCTGACCTGAAGCACAGACATCCCATATGGATGCTGGTTAGAGATCTCGCTGCTCCACTTCCAATCCAGCTCTCTGCTGTGGCCTGGGAAACCATTAGAAGATGGTCCAAGTGCTTGGGCCCCTGCACCCATGTGGGAGACCTGGAGGAAGCTCCTGAGTCCTGGCTTCAGATCAGTGCAGCTCCAGCCATTGCTGGCAATTGGGGATTGAACTAGCAGATGGACAGATCTCTCTCTCTCTCTCTCTCTCTCTCTCTCTCTCTCTCTCTCTACCTCTCTACCTCTCTGCCTCTCCTGACTTTCAAATAAATAATCTTTTTAAAAGAATGGAAAAAAATAAAAAATTTAAAAAAAAACCTCTTCCTCAACAGTCAAGGCATGGGCTGTTCAATGCCATTGCTTCTCAGAGTGTCAATTTCACTTCTACAGGTTGCCTTTTAGGAGCTCTATTAGTTATCATAGTCAGGGAAACAGTATTTTGTTCCTTACGGACTATCTTATTTCACTGAGTATGATGTTTTCATGATTCATCCATTTTGTTGCAAATGACCGGATTTCATTTTTTACTGCTCTGTAGTATTCCATGGTGTACATATCCCCAAATTAATTTATCTAGTCTTCAGTTGAAGGAGATTTGGGTTGATTCATATCTTTGCTATTGTTAATTGAGCTGCAATAAACATGGAGGTACAGATAGCTCTTTTTTATGACTTTTTCTTTTGACAGGCAGAGTTAGACAGTGAGAGAGAGAGACAGAGAGAAAGGTCTTCCTTCTGTTGGTTCACCCCCCAAATGGCCGCTACAGCCAGCGTGCTGCACCGATCCGAAGCCAGGAGCCAGGCGCTTCCTCCTGGTCTCCCATGCAGGTGCAGGGCCCAAAGACTTGGGCCATCCTCCACTGCCTTCCCGGGCCACAGCAGAGAGCTGGACTGGAAGAGCGGCAACTGGGACAGAATCCAGTGCCCCAACCGGGACTAGAACCTGGGGTACTGGTGCTGCAGGCAGAGGGATTAGCCTATGAGCCATGGTGCTGGCCCAGATGGCTCTTTCATATGCTGATTTCATTTCCCTTGGGTAAATTCCCAGGGATGGCTGGACATATAGTAGGTCTGTATTCGGGTTTCAGAGGTATCTCCATACTGTCTTCTGTATTGGCTTTGCCAGCTTACATTCCCAAACAAAATGGCATTCTGGGGGGAAGCAGAAAGTAACAAGAGCAAATCTGACATTTCTTGGTCAGGTAGCAGGAGTTAAAAAGAAATATTTGCTGGTATACCTGATAGCTGAATCTTTAAAACAAAGTATCCTCACTAAAAACTGACAAGTGGCACAAAGACAGCCATGTCTGTTATCCAGCAGATACAAACACATTTTGAGTTATTTAAGGGGTGTGTATTATGGTACAATGAGTTAAGTCATTATTTGTGATGTTCACGTCCCATATGGGAGTGCCAGTTTAAGTCCTGGCTACTCTGATTATGATCTGGTTTCTTACTGGGAAGGTACATGATGATTGTTCATGTACTTGCATCCCTGCGATCCAGGTGGGAAATACACATGGAGTTTCTAGCTCTTGGCTTTGGATTGCCCAACTCTGTTTTAGGCATTTCAGGAGTGAACTATCAGGTGAAAGCACGCTTTCTCCTTTCCAAACAAATAAAACTTTAAGAAAAGTTTCTTAAGGATAGGCATTGTAGTGCAGTAAGTTAAGTAACTACTTGCAATGTCCACATTCCATATTGGAGAGGCTGGCTTGAACTCTGGCTGCTCCATTTCTGATCCAGCTTCTTGATAATGCTTATTGAGATCCAGCTGATGGCCAGGTGTTTGGGGCACACTAGCCTGGTGGGAGACCCAAATGGTATTCTGGGCCCCTAGCTTTGGTTGGCCCAGCACTGGTTACTGTAGGCATTTTGGGATTAAGCCAGTGGATGGAATCTCTCTCTCTCTCTCTCTCTGTGTGTCTATCTCTCAAAATGAAAATAAGAAACATTTTAAGAGTTATTTTAAATAATTATCATGCATGAAGTTACTTCAAAAAGTTCAAGGAAAGTAAAATAGAAGATTAGTTTATTTTGTTACAACATTTTGAAATCTATATATGGTTTTTTCAAGCATTAATATGCTTATTTTTCTTATCATTTATTATATTAATTGGTTAACAAAGTAAAATTTTCCCAAGTACTGATTTATGGGGAATGCTTAAAAACAGCACACTAAACATTGAGTTTCACAAAAAGTGACCATTCAATAATTTCTTTAAATGTAATCCTATTCATTATTTTAAGCTTAATGCAACAATAATTTAATATAATAAGCTAAAAACACTTATAAACTGTATACCTTGGACTACAAAATGTATTTCCATAGCCAAATATGGCTTTAGTCAAATACACATTTCCACAATAAAAAAAATACTTACAAATGTTAACAAAACACAACCTTAACTCCATGCACATAATCAACTTCTTTTTTTTAGACTTTTATTTAGTAAATATAAATTTCCAAAGTACAGTTTATGGATTACAATGGCTTTTTCCCCCAAATAACTTCCCTCCCACCTGCAACCCTCCCATCTCTCACTCCCTCTCCCATTCCATTCACATCAAGATTCATTTTCAATTATCTTTATATACAGAAGATCGATTTAGTATATATTAAGTAAAGATTTCATCAGTTTGCACCCACACAGAACATAAAGTGTAAAATACTGTTTCAGTACTAGTTATAGCATTAATTCACATTGGACAACAAATTAAGGACAGATCCCAGTTTAAAAAAAAAAGGCCATCAAAGAAGGAGGTACCTTTCTCTGAAGGGAGGAGAGAACTTCCACTTTGACTATGACCATGTTGAAATAAGATCGAAGTCGGCAAACTCAAAAGGCTTCCATAGCCTTGGCAACTCATGACTAGAGCTTAGGGAGATTACTGACACCATAAACAAGAGTGTCAAATTGTTAAGTCAACAACAGGAGTCACTGTATACTTACTCCTCATGTAGGATCTCTGTCCATAATCAGCTTCTTAAATAATGCCTTTAATATTATCTCTGCACATGAGCTCTCTGAAATCTTAACAAACAGCATATTGTAAGTCCCAAAAACTTTTAAATTAAAAACAATCTTTTAATGAGAATCCAAGATGGCTGAATAAGGAAAAAAAATGCTGATTTTGCCCACGGGAAGATAACAGAAGAAAAGCACAGGAAGTGCATTCCTAGGGGAGAGTTGCAGAGAAGTTTTCAGGAGAAATTCCACAGAAAGAAGAGAGACACCATGGAGCAGTATGGACAGGAAAACACGCAGAAGTGAGTGAGGACAGCACCACAGCTGCCATAGCTGGGGGCTGGAGGAGGTGCCATCTGGGAGCAAGGTGAGAGGCGACTGTGGCAGCCTGTGTCATTGGTGATAGTGCCTGAGGGAGAATCTTATGGACCACACTGACTTAGCATCCAGCTTGGAGTTCTGGCAAGGGGCAGGGTTCCCACTTAACTCTGTGAAGGGAGAGCACACTGGTTTCTTACCATCTTCCTGTAAATGTACCCTGGTGACTAGCAGGAAGAAAGTGCCATCTTAACAGTGTGAGTAGAGACTGCTGTAGCTAATGCATATATGCAACTAGGGGATTTTATCAGAGGGATAAATCTGCTGTCCCCGGGCCGGTGCTGCAGCTCACTAGGCTAATCCTCTGCCTGCAGTGCCGATACCCTGGGTTCTAGTCCTGGTTGGGGCACCGGATTCTGTCCTGGTTGCTCCTCTTCCAGTCCAGCTCTCTGCTGTGGCCTGGGAGGGCAGTGGAGGATGGCCCAGGTCCTTGGGCCCTGCACCCACATGGGAGACCAGGAGGAAGCATCTGGCTCCTGGCTTTGGATTGGTGCAGCACACCAGCCGCAACACGCCGGCTGTAGCAGCCACTTGGGGGATGAACCAATGGAAAAAGGAAGACCTTTCTCTCTCTCTCTCTCTCTCTCTCTCTCACTGTCTAACTCTGCCTGTCAAAAAATAAAAATAAAAAATAAAAAAATCTGCTGTCCCCACTGACTTAAGTCTCCCCTGTAGAGTATGCATGTGTCTGGGCACCCACTTAAGACTATGAGGTACCCCCCCCCACACACACACACTCTAAAACAGGATCCTGGTTTCAAACTGCCAAGGTGGAGTACCAATAGGCAGCTGGCTCTGGGAATGCCTCTGTTCTTTCCACAGACAGGACAGGCATACAGAGCTGAGAGCAGCTCTCCTGTAGTCTATGACTATGGGGACCTTGTGCAATATGACTAATGGGATTCTGTGACTGCACAATAGGGTGTGGGGTATGGTTGGGTCTCTGAACATTCACTGTGTCTGGCTTCAGAGGCTCAGAATTCCCAGAGTACCTAGGGTTGACCCATTCCTGAGGTTTCCATGTTCACACTGAAGACTGCACAGATCGTTTGTGTAGTGCATGTACCTGCATTGGGGGTGGGGGGAGGATTGTAGCCACTGTTGGGTAACCCAAGGCATAGATGATCTTGGAAGGTAGGAGGTGAGGCTGTGATTTCTCCAGCTGACAGATCATACTCTCCCAACTCCTGAGAATACAGGAAATCTACCAGATACAAGTTGGTGTCACCCTGGACTCTTGACTCACTCTCATGCATTGCCCAGAGCTCCCTGGCCCCATGAAGCGCACACTTCTGGATATCACCTGAAAGAGCAGACACTCCACTAAGCCACAGAGGAAGAATTGGAAGATAAAAGCCATTAGAGGAGAACACCGACAAATGTCTCCAAAAATGCCAAAAAGTAAATGCAAAAATATAAGGAACATGCACAAGGAAGATAATATGTCTCCCCTAAAGGAACACAACACTTCAATATTAGAATTAAACATGAAGAGGTTAATGAAATGCATGAAATAGGAATTCAAAAAAATTATCATAAGCTTACTCAAAACTTACATATACATGAGACAAAGAAATCTATACATGACATGAATGAAAAATTTTGCCAAGAGATAGAAGATGTATCAAACTGAAATACTATGAATGAATAATTCAATATTTCAAGTAGAAAATACAATGTAGGGCCTTAACAACAGATTTGGTGAAGCAGAAGAAATATCCAAGGTAGAAGAAAAATACTGGGAAATATCTCATTAAAACCAAAAAAGGAAAAAAATTAGAAAACTAAAACTAGTGTTTGAGGATTATGGGACACTATCAAACAACCAAACATATGTGTCTTAGGTATTCCTGAAGGTGTGGAATGGATTAAAAGGCATTTTCAGCAAAATAATAGCAGAAAACTTCCCTAATTTGAAGAAAGATAGGGACATCAAAGTGCAAGAATTACAGATTACACCTAATAGACATGATCAGCAAGTGAAACAGTAAACATGAAACATTACAGTCAAACTTCATAAGTAAAACATAAATATTCTAAAATATGCATGAGAAATGTCATATTACCTTCAGAGATTTCATAGTAAGACTGCAAGTTCAAGTCCCAGCAGCTCTGCTTCGAACCCAGCTCCCTGCTAACATACCTGATAAAGGAGCAGAGGATGGCCTAAGTTCTTGGGCAAATGCACAAATGTGGGAGACTCAGATATGTTCTTGGCTCCTGGCATCAGCCTGGTGCAGCTCTGACCATCACAGCCATCTGGGGCGTGAACCATCTCATGGAAGAGATATCTCTCTCCCTCACTCTCTTTCCATCTCTCTCTCTCTCTCTCTCTCTCTCTCTCTCTCTCTCTTTATCTGCCTTTCAGAAAAAAACAACTATGGACCATAAAGATGGTGAGAATGGGGAACTCTGCACATGGGTCTATGTAGGGAGGAGCATGCAGCAACAGAGCTGAGGGGCCAGCTGGAAAATACCAAGAGGCCCTAGAAATCCAGATGTCCATCCAGGGGTTCAGGTTGCATCTTAATGCTAAGACTTAGCTCACTCTGAGAAATTCCCAGAATACATAAGCAGCACTGTCACTGAATGATGGCCAGACCTATCCAGGGGGGCCTCCAGATTGCTGGGGGACCCCAAGGAGCCCTTTACCTTAATTCATGCATCCTTGTGCTGTAGTGTCTCCTGGTTACTGGCCATGATGCTGCCTGGCACTGTTGATGACCTGCAGGGCTTCTGTAAGCTCCAGCAGCCCCCAGATACTTGCTACCTTCCCCATGGGCTGCAGCCATCCTACTGGGGCCATGCTATACTGACAGGAAAGGCCCCCATTATGGAGGGCTCTGCATGGAGCTGTTTTGTGGCACTTGTCTACCAGAGTTGGTAGGGACAATAGGGATTCTCAGGGTTCCTGTTGCTCTCCATTTTGGTGGCCATCTGGAAGAAGGGCAGGAGCTGCTGAGCCGTGATTTGCTGTATGACCCAGGGCTAGTTGTGGGGTCATATTGGATGTTGTGCTGCAGTATCAGTAGGGGTATGATCCACAGAAGGTGACACTGCTGGCCACAGGGTTTGTGTTGCACATCCTGTATGAGAGTTTTTCAACTGGGACCCAGGCATGCTCCAGCTGGAGAGGACCTGAACCTATTAGGCACTGACACTGGGCTACTGCTTAACATTGCCTGGAGCTTCCATGAGGCCTGGAACCTAACTCTGCAGCTGGCCATTGCCCTCTGCCTCATGCACCACTAGGTGGGCATGGCTTTCATAGGTGGTCTTGTCTTGGCATTGCTGCTGATGCCTGTCAAAAAAATGACTGGCATGTGCATCATGGCTTGCTCTTCCTTCCACAGACCTGTGTGTAGTTTCCCATAAACCAGGATGTGGGGGCATGATCTGCTCAGTAGGCTGCAGTCTGAGAGGTGGTGATGCCACTTCATCTGCACCTTGTTCCCCAACACTCCATTTCTCCAGAGAAGTTGCACCTCTCCCTTATCTTCAGGCAGCTCTCTCCTAGCCAGTCCAGACCATTGGGTTTGTCTTTTCATGGACCTCAGAGGCTATGGAGTACAGAGGAGGCCATGGGGTTTATCCAGCATCCCCCAGGCTAAGGGCCTGGGGGAGAGGCCAAGCCCTTTCTAAACTTTGTGAATGGCATATAAAGTCCTCTCTCAGTCCTGCTGAGAAGCAGTCACAGCCCGTGACTCTCACTGCAGCAAACATAGTAGAAGCATACACAGAATGGAAACTCCTAGCCAGGTGACTCCTGAGCTGTAAATGTTCCCTGGCTTTTGACCAACCCCTTCCCCCACAGCTCAATCCAGTGTTCCCTATCACTTGCTGAATTGTCTCTGTCACAGTTGGCTCATGGTTTTGCCTTGTTCTGGTTTTTCTTCCACTAGTTCAGGAAAGACAAGGCTAGAATGTTTCAAATGAATTTTATAATTATGTTTCTTGGGACTTTTGGGATGTAAGCTATATAAAATTATATAAGTATATAAACCCACTGGAGCTACCTTAAACAATGAAGAATCTATACCAGGGACTTCAAATGAATTGTAGAATCCAAAGGGGATAGAACAGCTGGGTCTTAGAAATAGCCTGGAACCAGGTCTCAACCTGCAGAAGCTCTCTGCCTTCTGCTTGCCTCTATGCACTTTCATTGTACATTTTCCAGAGACCCACTTTCTGCTGAACAGAAGCTGAAGAAACTACCAGGGCCAGAGTCATGGCACAGCAAGTAAAGCTGCCACCTGTGACACGAGCATCCCATATGTGCATCAGTTTGTGTCACAGCTGCTTCACTTCTGATCCAGCTCCCTGCTAATGACCTGGGAAAAGCAGTGGAAGATGGCCCAAGTGGATGGGCCCCTGCTACCCACATGGGAGACCCGGATGAAATTCCTGGGTCCTGGCTTCAGCCTGGCCCAGCCCTGGCAGTTATGACCATTTGGGGACTGAATTAGTGATAGAAGCTCTCTTTCACCTACCCCCACCACTGCCATAACTCTTTTAAGTAAATAAATAAATATATACATTAATTAATATTTTTTAAAAAGCAGAAAGAAGTTGCTTCTGGGACCTAACCCATTTTCCCAGGGTAGGGCTCATATGAGTCTAGTGTCCAGTAGATAAGTCTTTGGCAAGCATGGTGGGGGCATCACAGATGAGCAGCTTCTGGAAGCCTGGGTTGTCTCTAGAGAAGGAAGATGTTTTGATTCTTTTTCAGCAGGGAGATAATTCCAGGAATGTGTGTTACTGTTAAGAAATTGAGGGAGAACATAGGAAATCACAGAATTAGGCAGTTGTACCAAAAGCCCAGTCTTTTGCTTAGAGACATTGAAAGTGTAGCTGCAGCTGATTTAACCCAGCATCCAGACGCTATGTGTCAGACACCTTTTAGGAGTCAGCATTCCCAAAAGTAGAAGAAACAGCCTCTTGGGGGAATTTTCCATCTGGGAAGGGGAAGAGCATCAAGAAAGTGGGTCATTATAATCTGTAGACCAGAAGGATATCAGTGCTGTGACCATGAGTGGAAGAAAGAAATGGAACGATTCTGTATCTATTAGACCTCAGAAGAGGGAGCCAGAGAGAAGCATAACCTGGATGAGGGACTTCTTAACTCCCAGGTTGAAGAGAATGCCACCTGAGCTAGACAGATATGACAGCTTCTGAGCTATAGCCAAAGGGCAATTTATTCTCTCCCTGATCCAGAAGGAGTTTGCCAAAATTTGCACCCCTCACTGACAGCAGCTGCCAACTCAGAGTCATATGATACATTAAGGGGACCCTGTATAAAAGGCAACAATACAGGAGGCTACTGAGGTCCCCATGATGCTAGCCTGGCTGTCTGAGGTTTGTGTGTGTGTATGTGTATGTGTATGTGATTGTGTGTGTGTGTGTATGTAAGTATATGTGTAAATGTCTATGTGTGTATGTGCATTTGTGTGCATATTTGTGTGTTTTTGTGTATGTGTATATGTATATATGTGTGTTTGTGTGTTCATGTATATATGTATTTGTGTCGTGTACATATATGTGTATTTGTGTGTGTTAATGTATACATGTATGTGTATGTGTGTGGATATGTGTGTATTTTTATGTCTATGTATGTGTATGCTTGTGTGTGTGTGTGTGTGTGTGCACATGCATGCATCAGCTGTCCAAGGGCTTTGGCCTGGCCACTCAGAAATCCTGGATCCAGTTTGATGCCATCCAGGACAACATCCTCTCCAGGAAGACATTTGATGCCCAGCTGTACAGGGAAGTACAGGAGGCCTACATCCTCCATGACAATCTCAGGGTGGGTGCCTGGTTTTGAAACTTGACTGCCTGCTTGCCCATGAGTCCCTGATACTTCAAACAGAAACTTGCATCTCTGTAAAGTGGCTGCTTCTATTCTAGCATCATTTATCTAGAACTGAGTGTCACACTTTGGTCCTTCTAGGGTATCCAGTGGTTTAAGTCCTGCCTCCTCATAAGGCCCAGAGGGGTATTGGTGACTGGGAGTTCCTCCAGAAGCTTAGAGAGCCTTAAATCATCTAGGGCCAGGAGAGGATTTCCCCAGGCTTAGTTCTGCACAAGTCTTGGTACCCATTTGATTCAGGAGGGCCTCCCACATCTCCCACTGGGAGAGTCAAAAATGTCATTCAGAAGCCTAACAAACTCTGCTAAGCTCATTAGATTCCCCCTTTCCCCATTCCAGAGTATTGAACTCATCAAGGAGGATAATCTCCCATGATTTCTCCACTCAACTCCATGTTCCCTCCAAGACTGTCATCATCTTTACCCCACAAGGTAAATGTGCAGCTTCCCTAGAGGGGGGGCCCTTTGGCATCCTATGATCATCAATCATTTCCCAAATGTCTGCTGTGTCCAGAGCGTTATTTCAGGCACTAAGAATGAGGTGAATAACAAAGCTTACCTCTCAGGACACTCACTGTCTGGTGCAGCACACTTAGTTCATCCTCTGGGTTTGGGGGCTCTCTAGCTTAGTAGACCACTCTAAAGGCCCTAGGAGGGCTCAGGGTACATTCCTCCACTAGAGACCTATGAAAGCTGGGAAAAGGATATGATACCAAGTTCATGAGGTTGTCATGGGGTTTGAATGAGCTAGTGCCTCTAATATGCTAGGCTCCTGTTGGGTAAATGCTAGGTGGAATTGGAGTTATGGTATGTCACCTCTGATGGACTCACCCATGTTTAAGTGCAGTCCTCAAACTCAGTCACTCTCTTCATTTGCCAGGATAAGAAATGAGGCACAAGGTACTGAGTTGCTGCAGACTCATCGGAGTGTCTGTGCCATCAGATCCTGCCTGCTGGAGACTATACAGAGTTGGTGGGAGGGTGTAATTCTCAGTGAGGCAGAGTGGGTCTGGAGTGCCCTTGTTCATGCTGTTTACCAGGTAAGTTAAAGGCATGGCACAGGAAGAGAGAGGGAGGAGAACCAAGCCTTGGGCACTAGGCTGTGTGGACACAGGAACACAGTCACCTCCATCCATTTTCTTCCCCCCACATGGTCTTGAGGTGTTGGCCATCCTGCCCCCCTTTTGTAGCTCCAGGAAGAATCAAGGCCCATTAAATGCCATCATGTGGGCTGAGGCACTGGGATCCATCAAAGCCATGAACTGTCCTTACTTGAGGGACGCCCACTCTCAGGTCTCACCTCCTCTACTGCAGGGGCAGCCCCATGGTTCTTTCAGGTGTCTTCTCTGACTTGCTTTATATCAGTGCCAAGGAGAACCTATAGTTTCTGGCTAGAGAACTGGGGTCCTGATGCCTTGAGTGTCCCTGCTTCTCCCTTGGAAAATAAGCCGGGTTTCTTCCATGACATTCTGGCTGCTGTGGATACAGATGTGGCCATCCAACTGCTGCACAGGTGCATCCTGGTAGTTTTATTCTGCTTGGAGAGGGCTGATGTGCTGCTGCTGTTGGGGTTGGGTGCTTGTCCAGGAAAATAGTGTGGGGTAGGAGATGGGCTAATCGCGGGATGTATCTGCTCAGGTGTGACAGCAGGAATGTAGATTTTTCTACTGTCAGCTCCACCACCCTCCATTTGTGTCCTGATCCGAGCCATTGCCACCTCATGCCTGTGCAGAACTGGTGTGAGAAAATGGAGAGCTGGGGGAAAGGAGTGCATTAATGAAACATCAAGAGCTTTAAGATTTTTGGTCTTGACTGGATGCTCCTGGAGATCGAGAGGTCCGAGACCTCTAAGAGCAGTCTGATCTTCAGAGAAGAGAAAGCCATCAGGTTTAGAACAGTCTTTTGTTTAAAAAAATCATCTAAAATATTATTACCAATAGGGATATGACCTTCTTTAAGTTCACTAGGAAAGAATCAGGAGGAAACTGGAAACTGGAGAAACAGGGTGCATATACATGGCTGAGACTCCCCACTAAGGAATGCCAACATTGCAGGAAGTGGCTTAACCTATTATTCCACGACACCAGCCCCAATAACTCACTTTAAAAGAGAATAAAAATAGTACCCAACTTCCAAATCTTGGAAGGTTAAAGAGACTATCCAACATCAAGCAGATAGTGCAGGGTCTGGACCAAAGGCAAGGGTCAGGATGAGTGCACTTGCATTAACCTCACAGGTGTCAAAGCTTGAGAAGGAAACAAAGATAAGTCCAGCCAGGAGCAGCTCCTCATTCAGACAGGGGGCATAAGGCTGTCACGTGGACAATCCCTTATTGTCACAGCCAGCTTTCTGGGAGGATGAGCAGAGCCCTAGGCTCCTGAGCCACTCCACACCCATCCTCCCCTACCCAAGCTGTCCCATATGCACCTGTTACACCCAAACCCCATAGATTGTTGTTGATGTCATGGATCAGAATGTACCAAGCTAGCTGAGAGAGCAAGGACACTGGTGGGAATGCTGCAGTTCTATCTTAGTTCCCCCAGTTGAGTCTCCCACTTGGTCTCCACTCTCTCAACAGTGCTGCCTATTTCCTCTCCTCAACACCAGATTGATGGTCTAACTTCCACATTGCCCAGGGGTCTAGCACTCACCTGCCTGCTCACCAGCACAGCTTTGTGCTCATGCCTGTGCAAACTTGGTGGGCACACACAGTGGTAGTCTCCACTCATCATGCATGCACTGCCTTCCATTCTGGCAGGGGCCTGCATGGTACAGATGTGCTCATCTGGAGAGGAGATGAGACATGTGTAATGGACTCTCACATCTGGCTCCCAGACCTGCTTGGGCCCCACTTGCAGGCCCTCCAGACCCATGACTTGGTGAGTGTGGCTCACACCAGAAGCCTACTGCAGAGTGTCATGGTGTTTGGGGGATGAGGGCACAACATTGAATTTGGAGTTAGGAGAATCCTGGCCCACCTATGTCCCTCTGTCTCACTCAAACTGTCTTTTCTGGGCCACAGTGTACTCATCTGTGAAATAAGTACAGTTTTAGAAACTACCTTTCCTGCCTCTAAGGTTATGTTAAATATTGACTTAAATAAGATAGATACAACATTTAAAAATGATTAAATATCATGTATCTGAGGGTTTGAGCAGAACACAATAGGTACTCAATAATCTTAGATCTTCCCTGGAGACACAGGAGGTCCCCAGCCCCCAGCTCCCCTCCTACCTTTGTCATAGCACTTGCTTGCCCAGCCACTGTAGCAGATGCAACACCAGGACGGGGGACAGGGATGCTGGCACATGGCATCTTCATGAAGTGCTTGCAGTACAGCCAGTACAATCTCAGGTCACACCTGACAGGGAGAAGCACAGGTTCAGGATTCTGGGTATGGGGTGTGATGAAAGAGGCAGAACTTGCTTTTAGAAACAGCGGAGCATTCGACTGTCTCTAAGGGAAAGCAGACTGGTCCCAGGAAAGCAGACTGGGGCTGTGTATAGGACACACATGGGACCAAATCACCAGATAGTAGTGTCAAAGTCCTGGTTCTTTATTCTAACACTTCTGAGCCTCCACTTTTATCATCTGTAAATTGGTGATATATCTCTGGAGATTAGGATTAAAAAGAAAAAGATGATGTTTGTAAATGTAAATGCCAATCAGCATCATTTCTGGCATTTCTGAGACCACCTGAGTGTTTAAAAACTGACCATGAATTTCCACATGCAGAAGCATGAAGCAAGACCCATACCTTACACCTTACACAAAAATCCACTCAACATGGATTAAAGAACTAAATCTACAACCTGACACCATCAAGTTATGAGAGAACATTGGAGAAACCCCACAAGATATTGGCACAGGCAAAGAGTTTCTGGAAAAGACCCGGGAGGCACAGGCAGTCAAAGCCAAAATCAACTATTGGGATTGCATCAGATTGAGGAGTTTCTGTACTGCAAAAGAAACAGTCAGGAGAGTGAAGAGACAACCAACAGAATGGGAAAAAATATTTGCAAACTACGCAACAGATAAAGGGTTAATAACCAGAATCTACAAAGAGATCAAGAAACTCCACAAAAACAAAACAAACAACCCACTTAAGAGATGGGCCAAGGACCTCAATAAACATTTTTCAAAAGAGGACATCCAAATGGCCAACAGGCACATGAAAAAAATATTCAAGATCATTAGCGATCAGGGAAATGCAAATCAAAACCACAATGAGGTTCCACCTCACCCCGGTTAGAATGGCTCACATAGAGAAATCTACCAACAACAGATGCTGGCGAGGATGTGGGGAAAAAGGGACACTAACCCACTGTTGGTGGGAATGCAAACTGGTCAAGCCACTATGGAAGTCAGTCTGGAGATTCCTCAGAAACCTGAAGATAACCCTACCGTTCGACCCAGCCATCCCACTCCTTGGAATTTACCCAAAGGAATTTAAATTGGCAAACAAAAAAGCGGTCTGCACCCTAATGTTTATTGCAGCTCAATTCAAAATAGCCAAGACCTGGAACCAACCTAAATGCCCATCAACGATAGACTGGATAAAGAAATTATGGGATATGTACTCTTTAGAATACTATACTGCAGTAAAAAACAATGAAATCCAGTCATTTGCAACAAAATGGAGGAATCTGGAACACATCATGCTGAGTGAAATAAGCCAGTCCCAAAGGGACAAATATCATATGTTCTCCCTGATCGGTGACAACTGACTGAACACCAAAAAGGAAACCTGTTGAAGTGAAATGGACACTATGAGAAACGGTGAGTTGATCAGCATATCCCTGTTAATGAACAACTTAATACATTATCCCTCTTCGTATTTTTTTTTGTCTGTTCTACTTAATACTACTGGTTTAATTCTGTAATTAATACACAGTTATTCTTAAGTGTTAAAATTTAACTGAAATGTGATCCCTGTTAAACATAAGAGTGGGAACAAGAGAGGGAAGAGATGTACAATTTGGGACATGCTCAAGCTGACTTGCCCCAAATGGTAGAGTTAGAAACACACCAGGGGATTCCAATTCAATCCCATCAAGGTGGCATGTACCAATGCCATCTCACTAGTCCCAGTGATCAATTTCAGTTCACAATTGATCATAACGAAAGGACTAAGAGTCCAGGGGAGCACATAAACAAGTCTAGTGCCTGCTAATACTAACCGATAGAATAAATAAAGGGGAGAGTGATCCAACATGGGAAGCAAGATACTCAGCAGACTCATAGAATGGCAGATGTCCTAAACAGCACTCTGGCCTCAGAATCAGCCCTAAAGGCATTCAAATCTGGCTGAAAAGCCCATGAGAGTATTTCAGGCATGGAAAGCCAAGACACTCTTGGGGAAAAAAAAAACCCTAAATGAAACCTAAATGAAAGATCTCTGTGAGTGAGATCCCAGTGGAAAGAACAGGTCTTCAAAGAAGGAGGTACCTTTCTCTGAAGGGAGGAGAGAACTTCCACTTTGACTATGACCTTGTCTAAATAAGATAAGTGTCAGAGAACTCAAAAAGCTTCCGTAGCCTTGGAAACTCATGACTGGAGCATAGGGAGATTACTGATGCCATAAACAGGAGTGTCAATTTGTAAAGTCAACAGCAGGAGTCACTGTGCACTTACTCCTCATGTAGGATCTCTGTCCTTAATGTGCTATACATTGAGATTTAATGCTATAACTAGTACTCAAACAGTATTTTTCACTTTGTGTTTCTATGTGGGTGCAAACTGTTGAAATCTTTACTTTTGTATACTAAACTGATCTGTATATAAAGAGAACTGAAAATGAATCTTGATATGAATGGAAGGGGAGAGAGGGCAGGAAAGGGGAGGGTTGTGGGTGGGAGGGAAGTCATCGGTGGGGGGAGCCAATGTAGTCCATAAGCTGTACTTTGGAAATCTATATTCATTAAATGAAAATTAAAATAAATAAATAAATAAATGGGAAAAATGTTAAAAAAAAATAAAAACTCACCATGAAAGGCCATCAGGAGGGGGCCAGCGCCATGGCTCACTTGATTAATCCTCCACCTGTGACACAGGCATCCCATATGGGTGCTGGGTTCTAGTCCCAGTTGCTCCTCTTTCAGTCCAGCTCTCTGCTGTGGCTCGGGAGGGCAGTGGAGGATGGCCCAAGTGCTTGGGCCCTGCACCCGCATGGAAGACCAGGAAGAAGTACCTGTCTTTGGCTTCAGATCGGCACAGCACCAGCCATGATATGTCCATTTGGGGAGTAAACCAACGGAAGGAACACCTTTTTCTCTCTCTCTCTCACTGTCTATAACACTGTCAAATCAACTTTTTTAAAAAGGCCATCAGGACTAACCTCCTGTCCCTTCCAGAGCATACATCTGACTCATCTCATTAAAAGGCTTCCAAAGATGTATCAGGAGGACTTCAAAATGTTATTGGGAAATGTGTATTGTGAACATTTTGTGCATGAATTTCAAAAATATTTGCACAAAGTAAATTTCTCATATAGCTCTATTTCCCACAAGGTTTTTGAAGTACCCTTGACAGCCCCCAACATTGCAAGATAAGTGAGAAACCTGCCTGCCAGCTCCCTTCCTTATGTGCAGAGCTTCTCTGCTGCCACGGGATCTGCACCCCCCTGCAAGTCAACCACAGAGTGACCCGTGAGAGAGCCTCTTCTCAGCAGAACCCCCACCCCAGCCTCTCTCCCAGGCTAACCCATGCCTTCCCTCCTTCCTGTTCTCCAGATTCCTGTCAAGCTTCAGGCCTCTCTGCCCAAGCAGCTTGAGAGGCAATGTGTCAGACCCTCTGAATCAGGCTTAGGAGGAAAGCAGAAGAAGCATAAGGCAGGAAGGTGAATGGGAATGGTGGTAGTGGTGCTGGTGCTGGTGGTGGGTGGGGATCAGGCTGGCCAGTTTGCTGCTGTCTTGGTGCCATAAGACTGATAGGCTGTGAACAGCAGTGTCTCAGGCACTGGAGCCTCTGTCCTGGGGCTCGGCCTGGTCGTGAGTGAGCAGGGCTGGGGAATGGGGAGTGAATGGTTTAGGGGTACTTATTCCAGGGGACCAGGGGCACACAGCAGCCATGGCCCAGGTTACAATGCAATAGATTGATGAGGAATGGGAGAGTCTGAGTCAGTATATGGCTGCCTAAGATGCAGGACTCGGGAGAGGATTCCTGTTTCCAAGAAGTGGGTGGGCACAGCTCTGGGAGGGAGCACAGAGTCGTATCCTATTCCAAAGGGACCACCTGGCTCTGGCCTGAAGGTGGCAGCGGCTGCAGTGCCGGCTCTGGCCGCCAGGGGTCATCATGCAAGCGAGGATGTCCAGACAGAGCTGAGACCTGGGCCCAGTGGCCTTGCTCACATCCGCAGGCTGACTCTGGGTCTGCAGAATGCTCAACCGGCCCAGGAGAAGTAGGCAGCCACAGCTCCGCGGGCATGGTCTGCGCGGAACGGAGGGATGGACTTGAGGACACCTGTGGGAGGACGCTGGCAAGGAGGTGGCCGGAGCAGAAACAGCAGCAGGGATACGGGTTTGAAGTGACAGGAGCCAAAGAGGGAGAGGGGCGCTGGGAAAAGCTAAGGCGGTGAAGGCATCGGGAGGGTTGGGATGGGGAAGGGTTGGGCCTGCGGGAGACTGGAGACAGACACCCAGAGAGGGGTCTGGGGGATGAACGCGACTGATGGGCAGCACACAGGCGTGGTCGCAGGAATGGGGGGGCTGGGATCGCGGTAGGGAAGGAGGAGTCCGCGGGGATGAGGGCAGGGTCGAGAACTGATCACCCGCACGGAGTGGACAGGGGGCCTGAAGGAGCGCGGGATCCCGGTTCCCGGCGGGCGGTCCCCACTCTCCTCCTCTGAGATCGCCTCCCCCACTGCCCTTTGGCACTGCCGGTTCTCATCTCCGCCGCGGTGGGCTCCCAGACAGCGCAGAGCCTGGGATGTCCTTGGCGACCCGAGCCCCACGCGCCCGTGTGCTGGAGGTCTTTGCCCTAGGCAGGCAGGGGGCGCGCCCCCAGAGCGCAGAGGGAGGCCGGATCCGACAGGCTCCGAGGATGGCCGCCCCTAGCCAGCCGCAGGGCCAAGCCCCTCTAGGCGGCTCCCTTGCCAGCCCTGTGGTGGTGGCGGCTCCCGGAGCAGGCTTGGTGCCCAGTCAGGGGAGCTTGTACCCGCTGGACCGCCCTCCACCCCGGTCGCGCCTACCTCTCCTGCGCCTCTCCAAGCCACTCTTGGTTCACACATTCCCTCTCCTTCTGAGTCCCAGGCCTCTAGACTCCAAAGGCAATGACCCTGGCTTTCTTCCATGAAAGGCGGAAACGGGAGCAAATCATGACCCTGCTATTCTCCCGTGGCCCATTCCCCCTTTCCTGAACACCCTATCACGTGTCTCTTTTGTACCCCAGGGACACTCGGAGCACCCGCCCTCCCCACTCACCAGGCCTTATCTCTTCCATTTCGGTGCACTCTCATCAGCCTGCTCCTGACCTTCCCAGCTTTCTCTCTCCTTCGGGTCTACAGCCGTCCAGGACCTACCCATGCCTGTCTAAATATCACCGCAAGTCTCAGTCTCCCCACCCCATTGCTTTCTGTGGTCAGCTCTGGGAAGGCTCCCTGCATTAGGAACGCCCCCTGACTATCACTGGGCCCCTCAAGTTCCCTCTTCTGCACCCCAGCACATCCATCCTGGGCTTCAGCCTCTCCTCCACTGCCCAAATCAAAGCTCAGATTGGGAGAATTACAAAAGGGAATGCACCCTGCTAGGTCTCATCACACCTCCAGCTTAGGGCACAGACACCTATGCAAATCCAATCCCTCAGACAAACTTCATTTGCTCAGGATTAGAGCGTAGAGGTCAGGAACTCTGCCACCCATCTCTGACCCTCCTGGTACAGATCTCGCCATGTTTTAAGTGCCACACGTGGAGATTTCACATCTTAGAGCCCCTGAGGAGCCCTTATGCTCCTGTGCCCTGCAGTCTCCCTGGGGTGTGCACCCACCCCTACCCACTTTCCAGACATCTTACTTTCAACTCTGGTCACCTCGCTGAGTAATGACGTGGATCTGTCATTATTTTTCAGTGAAAGATTGCAAACAGACTATAATGTCAAATATTATGCAAGCATATTACGGTGTGGCAATACCATGTGATTTTTAAAAGTCATGAAAAGAATACGTTAAATGGGGAAGGGCCATAAACAAAGCAGAACTTACTCCCTCATTGGCAGTGCCTTTCTAGGTTTATGGAATTCAGATTTGTTTTTTCTTATTGATCCTTTTGATCATTTCTCCTTTTTAAAAAATGATTTTTTAGACTAAAGTAAAAAAATTAAATTATCATTCTGCTAATTTGATAAAATCATAAGTATTATGACTTTGAGCCTTTTTCCTACTCAAATATTTTTACACATGTATTAGCATAATGTACCTACAATGTTTTATCCTGTATTTTAATAAATTATTGATTTATTTGAGAGAGAGTACAGAGCAGAAATACCAAGGAAAGAGATCACTTTCACACACTGGTTCACTTCCCAAATGCTTGAAATGACAAGGGGTAGTCTGGGTGGAAGCCAGAAGCCAGGAACTTATCCAGGTTTCCCACATGAGTGGCATAGACCCAATTACTTACTCCATCATCTGCTACATCTCTGGGTCTGCATTAGCAGGAAGCTGGAGGTAAGCAATCCAAGAACTGTGATATGAGATGGATGCATGCTAATAACTAGGCCAAATGTCACTCCATATAATTTATTGATAGCTCTCAAAAACAATTATAGATGACTATATGATATTGCATAAAACATATTATTTTCTTCTGAAATATTTTATTCTTTTATGCAATGTAATATTAAGACAAAGAGGGAAGGTTAAATGTAGTTTATAGATACAATTCTAAAATATGACACTTCCCTTCCTCCCTAGCAATCCCCCTCCCTTCACTCTCCCTTCCCTCCCCTTGACTTTCCCTTCCTTCCTTATTTCCTTCTTCGTTCTTTTTTTCAGTATTTGAGGTAACACTACAGTCAACAGGGTAAATGTTCCACTAAATAGATAAACAAGTAAAAAGGCCCTAGTTCAGTGGTGATATAGGCAAGGGCTATAAATAATAATAAAATGGAAAGATGACTATTTCACCCATGTACAGTAAATTCTTAACTAATCACAGATGAATAAAAAATTTTATAAAAGTATTATAACATTTTAAACATTGTTTTGACAAAAATATAAATATT